TCGGGGCAGAGGGGAGGGGTCAGGTTCTTGCAGTAGGAGTGACCCCAGCCAGGGAAGCAGGCCGGCAGGAGGTAACACTGGGGGCTCCACAGGGAAACGTCCTGAAAGGTCCTGTGGGAGGCTGAGGGTGTTGACATCATATAAATAAAGAATCAGAGAATCCCAGCTCTTAGGAGACTGAGGTGGAGGATTGGCTCGAGTTTGAGGCCAGCCTGAGCTACACAGCAAGACCCTGCTCGAACCATGCCCTCAAAAAAAAAAAAAAAAAAAAAAAGGGAAAGTTTTTGTTTTATGTGTAATGGGGATGGAACTCAGGGTTTTCACACTAAGCTACATCCTCAGCCCTTAGTTAGAAAAATAGTAATAAGAGAAAAATTATGTAAGACAGGCTCTTCTTAAGTCACTCATTTGCCCCAGCTGGGCTTGAATTCGTGACCCTCCTGCCTCAGCCTCCCTGAATGCTGGGATTACCAGCACATGCACCACCACGCTCAGCTAGAGAGGCCTCTTAGACATTGGATAAATGGGAGTCTACGGGCTGGAAGTAAGAATGTTGGTCTTGGCAGAGGCCAAGTGCAGCCCTGAGGCTGGAAATCCCCAAAGGAGAATTCGCCTAAGAGATGAATTCTGTGTGGAAATCGTGTCTCTCGTGTACAGGAAGTAACAACACAGCAGAGAGGCTATAGGTCCATGCTGGCAGCAGGTGTGGGGAAGGAGTTGGACCACCGCAGGCAGGCAGAAGGTTGTGAGGTGGCTGCAGGGGCCAGGCGGGATGCTGGGGAGGGGCACGGTACATCAGAATGGGGGCAGAGATGGGGTCCCGGGGCAGGGGCTGCCCCAAACCTGACGCTGTGTCTCCAGATCTGCCTTGTTCCCAACCAGCACGACGGGGAAGTCGTCGCGGTCCTTGACCCGGAGGATCTGTGTGAAGAGCTTGCCCACCTCGTTGAAGCTGTGAGAGAGGCCACAGGCATGAGGGCCGCCGGCCAGCCGCCCCGCCGAGGCCCGCACTCGCCCCCGCGCCCCTCACCTCTGCCTGTCGTTAATGGCAAACACCAGCAGGAAGCCATGGCCCGCACGCATGTACTGCTCCCGCATGGCCCCGAACTCCTCTTGGCCCGCGGTGTCCAGGACTGGCGAGACAGGGAGAGGCGTGCTGTAGGGGCCAGGCTCCCCTCAAGGACACCCGCAAGCCCTTGGCCCCCGCCCACCTGTCCCCGACACTCACTGTCCAGCCGGGCTGGAATGCCATCTACAGTGCAGATCTTCGTGTAGGAGTCCTCGATGGTGGGGTCATAGTCAGACACAAAGTAGGACTGGAGGGGTGGGGAAAGCCCACTGTTACTGGAGAATGAGCTACAGCTCTCTGATGCCCTGCCCCACCCCCACCCCCATCTCTAGTACCCTCATCTCAAGTTATTTTTCCTTGAGACAGAGTCTCACTAGGTAGTTCAGCTGGCCTTGAATTCACAGTGACCCTCCTGCCTCAGCCTCCCAAGTGCTGGGATTACTGCCATGTACCACCATGCCCAGCTCTTGGTCTTTTCTTAAAGTCTCTGATCCACTCCTTAGTTCCCTATACTCTTTCTAAGTCTCTCTTTACCCCTCTCTGGGTCTCTGTCCCCTTTTCTTTGGGTACCTGCCCCCCTCCCCCAGTGTCCTTTCTCTGAGGCTCTCCTGGTCCTCTCTCTCCAGATAATGTACATCTCCCTTATCATGATGACATCCTGGCTATGTGACATTGAGTGAAATCACTTCCCCTGTCAGCCTCAGTTTTCTCATTGGGAAAATAAGAATAAGAATAGCACCACACCCACTTAGCGTTGTGAAATTCCGGGGAACCCCTTGCTAAACATTTAACATATTGCTGGGCACATAGTAAGCGCTCAGTTGTTGGAAGCCACTGTTGTCCCAAGCATCTGGCTGGCTCTATCCCTCCTCCACCGCCTCCTGGCCTCTTTCCTCCTCCACTTCCCCTCCTCCTCCTTTAGGAGGCCGTGGGCTTCTCCTCCCAGGGGAAGCTCCCGGTTCCAATCCGGCTGCAAGAGGCTGCCCCACCCTCGGCCTCGGCCCCTCCCTTCCTGCCAAATCCAGCGCCTCCAGCCAGGCCTCGGGCCAGCTCTGGGTCGGCCCCTGGGTGCCAGGGGCCCAGGGCTGGGGCCTCCTTCTGCACAGGCAGGGCTCCTCCCTGGCATGTCCTGAGGGGTCTTGGTCCAGGCAGCGACTATAGGGGCACACGCTTGTCTAGGGTTTCTCGGGCATGGGGACTGTTTCCCTGGGGAGCAGGCTGAAGGTTTCTTGCAGCAGGGTGGGTAGGCAGCAGAGGGGGCCTGACTTTGGGCTGGGGGTCTGCATCCCATTAGCTAGGTGCTCGGTGGGGACTTCCCTGGAGGGAAGGTACAGGGACCAGAAGTCCTCGAACACATCTGGAGAAGCTCAGGGGTGAGGATGGGGACCAGCCCAGGGATAGCTCAGGGGCACTCTCAGGCTGTCACGAATAGAGTTTTAGAGACCCTGAGATGCATTTATTTTTGGGAAACTCCTAAGGAGTGCATCTTTCTAGGGGTATGCAGAATCTGGGGGCTTCTTCCACGGAGATGATTTGGGGGTTACCCAGGGTTTCTGAGAGGGGTTCAGGGAGCTGGAGGGGAGGAAAGCTGGAGGGATGGAGGAGTGGTTGGTTTTCCTTGGGGGTGGGAAGAGAGAGGATCAGAGTCTGGCCGATTGGGGGATCGCTAGACCTTGGGGTCTTGGAGTTTTCTTGAAGGCTAAGGGGGAGGCTCTTTTTGAAGTCTCTTGGGTGAGAGGGGAAATCCTCAGTCAAGCACTGAGCAAAATTCCTAGATTCTGAGAGAGGCTGCCCGAAGGGGCCAAGAATTTCCACTGGGGGATGGGAAAGGTGCTGCCGCAGCTGTTAGCCAGGTGAGGCTCTGGGTGGCCCGGAGGGGAACTAGGATTTGGGAAAGATCAGGCTCAGAGTGGAGGGACTCGTGGCCCCCGGGAGCGCTCAGGGTCTGAATGGGACGACTGTTCTGTATTTAGGATGCTCCCAAAAGGCACCAGGGCCAAGTCAGCAGGGGACTGCGGAGAGACCACGGGTCTCAGGATGTATTCGGTCAAAGGTCCCGCGTGCAGGGGGTGTAGGCCCGCTGAGAGTTTAGAGTCGCAAAGTCAGGGGATCTTTGAAGGTTAAAGGGCCTCATAGGAAGGTCTCAGTGATGGGTCAAGGGGAAATGGGACTCTTAGGGATCCCCCCAACAGGGCTCAGGTCCGGGTCCCAGCGACACCTTCCCGGGTGAAGGCACTCTACCTGGATGAACTGGATGGTCAGCGCGCTCTTGCCCACGCCGCCGCCGCCCACGACCACCAGCTTGTGTGTCTCGCTGGGCGGGGGGTCCCCGGGTCCCGGCCCCCCGCCCCTGGGCCGCCCCCGCCCAGTCCCGGACGCCGCCCCGCTGCTCATGTCGCCACCGCTGCCGCCGCCTCTGCTAACGCCGGGGGGAACCAGGCGGGACCCAGAGGCGGGCTACGCTAATAAGGTACTACATAATCATGAGCTCTTGCCAGAAGGACTCCGGTCTCGGACACTTAAGGAGTGGGGAAAGCCAGGGGGAGGGAGGAGCTATGCTAATAAGGGTAGGGACCGAAGTTTGCGGGAAGGGGAATGCCGAATGGGGCGGGGTTATGCTAATAAAGACCTGTGCTCACCCTGAGCGGCGCCACGCGCTTTAAGCGGGCAGACCGCCCGTGGGCGGGGCTATGCTAATAAGCACGTATTCTTTTAGCAGATGGGTAGGAAGCTCTTTCGGGGTGGATCTATGCAAATAAAGGTTCCTGGAATAGAGCTTCTTCGAGGACCAGGCTCCAAGTCTTATTCTGGCAGGCGGGGCTTGCCGACTTGCGAGCGGCCGTATATAGGGCGTTCTGTGGAAGGACCCGGTCTTGAGGAGAAGCTCCACCTCCTTCCTGGGGTCGCGGCCAAGCTCTCGGACCGGGCGTCTGAGCACGAAGCCGGAGTCTCCGCCCGCTGAAGGACGCAGGCTTCCGGTTCCCGCTGTCCTGGCCAAACGGAAGACAGACTGGGAGGGGAGATGGGGCCCTGGAGGGGGACAGCAGAGTAACGGGGCAGGGAGGGGCCGTGAGATCACCGCATTCCTAATCCATGAGCCAGCTTGCCCAAGTCGGGACTCCCGGGTCATGAAGGGCCCGGGGCCAGAATTTCTGGGGTTTGAAGGAGGAAGCCGAGAGCCTAGACATTTGGGCCCCTAGGAGAAAATAACGTTGGAGACCTGGGGCCCTGAGTCCTGGGGAAGAGGGACTCGGGGCTGTGGGGAGGCCTTATTACATGTAAGGTGTGAGCTAGACACCTGGATAGTTTGAGGAACGAGGGACCTGAGGACTCGACTCGGGTCCAAAGAAAGAAGACTGAAACCCTCCAGTCCGGGAGACGAGGGACTTCTCTGTCCTGAAGGAGGAGACTGCAAGGTTCAGCTCTTCCGTTCTAAATTTAGATTGGACTCGGGGATCTGGATTCTGAGATCTCCAGAATGTGGGCGGGGCAATGGCCAGCAAGTCCAACTCACTCCGCCAAACTACAATTCCCTTGTATCTGTTCTGCTGATCGCCTTTTGGCATCACTTCCTGTTCCACAGCCCTTTCCCCGCGCGCGCGAGGCATGGTGGGACTTCACCGCGGGCTACAGCAACCCCGCCCACTTAACCTCTCAGTCCCTCGCTGTCCCCGCGCGACTGAGGCGGTGCGCAGACTACGCCTCCCGGCGTGCATTGCGAGTAGCCCGTCCCATATGCCTCGTTGACTCCTGGGAATTTGAGTCCGCTCACCTTCCCGCCAGCCTTCAGTGCGCCGTTCTCGGTACTTGAAATCCCGGCAAGCCCGGCGGCAATTTAGCTCCGCCTCACTCCTCCTCTGCTCGCGGGCCCCGCCCCATCCCGCCCCGCCCCGCGCCGGGGCTGAGCCGCAGCCCAAGCGGCGGGGTAAGATGGCGGCGGCGGTCCGGGCCGCGGGGCTCGGGCCTATTGGGGTGGGCGGGGCGGAGTCGGGTCGCTAGTTGTCCCTGGGTACCCCCCACACGCCAGGGGGCCTGGAGCGCTTAACGGGCCAGTCTCGAACCCGGCAGTGGGGGTGAAGGCTGGCGCCAAACGAGGGGCCTTTTTAGGGCCCCAGAACGCATCTGTTGGTGCCAGGGGTGTCTGCGGCGCCCCTGAGCGGACTGGGGGCGTCCAGAGGGCCTGGGCTGAGCCTGGGGCCTGGCCTCCATCACATAGCTGGCCTGGATCGTGTCAGGAGGCGCTGTGGATCGTCTTTATGGGCCGAGCGGAGGCTAGGCTCTGTTTAGAGTATTTTGGGGCCATCTTGAGATCTTGAGCCGTGTCCCAGGGGTGAAGGAGGTCTGCAAAAACCGAGGAGTGTCTGCAGAGCCACCTAAGAGTGCTGGGGTACGTCTGTGAGGGCTGGGAAGTGTCTACATGGGCTGGCCTGTGGATGCCGCTGGTCTGCATAGGTCTGGAGCCGTTTCTTGGGCCTGGAAGAACTCTTTAAGGGTTAGAAAGTCTTTCAGGGCCACCGAGAAGGGTGAGATGTGCCTACCGAAGGTGTATGTGGGGGGGGAAATACTGTGATGTGCCGAGAATAGTGGATAGAGCTGTAAGGTCCAGGAAGTGTCTGATGTGGGTGACAGGCGGCTGGGGGTAGTTAGAAGGACCTGGAAACATCTAGGTGGATTTGTTGCGACTACGAGGATGCCTGGAGCAAATTCGAATCCTTTTGGGGGTTAGGTAAATGTGTGGAAAATAATACAAAGAGAGAGTGTTAGAAATTTTGCCCAGCTCAAATGTACTTGCTCTGTAGAAAGTAATTCAAATGTAAATTGCTTTAAAATCCTGCCTCATCTTGGGGCTAGAGAGAGAGAATTTACCCACCCAGTCTGGGAGGGTCTGTAGGATCTTCTAGACTCATCTTCGTGTTGTGCTTTTCAAACTCTTTTTGACCTTGATCACTAGTATGAAATACGTTTTTGATTGAGGCCCAGTACATGTGTATTTAACTAATAACAAGTCCCAGAAATTGATATTTCCACTTACGACTTGTGAAACACTGTGAAGAATTTATGATTGCATTCTATTTACTTTGTGGCTAGCTATTTATGAAGCTCTACACTGCTCCCAGACCTGGGAGTTTGGGCACCACTGATCTAGAGGAACCTGGCGGGGTCAGCAGAGCCTTCTGGTGTCTGTCTGCCAGAGCTGAGGAGCTAAGGACATTTTCCTGTGTCACAGTGGGTTTGGGGCTCCCCAAGGTTGTGTCAGGTTGTGAGCGAGCTTCTGATCTGAGACAGTCACTATGCTAGGTAAGCACTTCCCAGGAGGTGCTGAAGACCAGCCCCAGGCCTGGGAGCTATCTGCAGGCCTGGAGGGTATTGAGTGTGGGTTGGAGAGACCAGGGTGTAGGAGACTATTAGGTTGGGCGGTGTCTGCAGGGAGTTAGGGAAGAGGCTGGAAGAATTAGAGACCTGGGAGACTGACTGTGAATGTGGAAGCTTGGACGCAGGCTTGAAAACCTATACTAGCGCAGAGACCAGGGCAGAGATCTTTTCTTTACTAATGTGCTGCAGGAAAAGTAGGGGACAGAGATGTAGGGGAAACCGGAACATTAAGGACTAATAATACAGTGACTTCATGTGTATCAAAGCTTGCAAAGAATTTTGAGGTTCGGTATTGTTTTCTCATTAGCAAATTGACAGTTCTGGAAACTTGCACGCGTACTATTGCTAATTTCTGAAGCCCTTATCCAGATATCTACCACCCTGTAACATGCTTCCTTGCCTGACTGGGTGCTCAAACCTGAGAATTTCTGTGGCATCACCCGAGGTCTGGGTGTGGTGACACATCCACCCGACGGACGGCGAGGTGCCGGGCAGGAGCCCCCACTGGGTTTTGGGGAACAGCATGTCTTTCTGAAATTTAGTGTTTTTGTGTTAAAAGTGGTGAAGGGGCTCTGCAGACCACTCTATCATGCTTCCATCTTTTGTGTAGATAAAGGAAAGTTCTTTGGTTCCTTATCATAGAGGATGATTGCTGCCCCATGCAGCTGTGTGGTACCTGGCATTAAATGCCAGGCAGCGCACTGGCACATATCTCAGTTTGGCCAAGGTGGGCTTATGGGGCTGTGGAACACGCTTTGAAATCACAGCATAACGTAAAAACATCGCAAGGTTGGGTTTGTATCCCATAGGGAGGGGTGAGGCCTGTTGGGAGCAGTGGGCACTGGAGAGCGAGATGCTGAAATAGGTGTCGGAGGAGGCCTGTGGACAGAGGAGGAGGCCAAAATCTAGACAGAGGAAGAGAACTGCTGGGGTCCCTGTGGGCCACACTGGCCCAAGCATAGGGTGGCCTGGGATGAGGCGGGGTACTGAAGAGGCTGCTGCCGGACAGTGTCAGAGGCCCATCCACCCGCTCCTGTCCCCTCCCCGGCCTCAGCTCCAGCTGTCCCCTCCCCAACCAGGTAACCATGGAGGAAGAAGATGAGTCTCGAGGGAAGACAGAGGAGTCCGGCGAGGACCGGGCCGATGGGCCGCCTGACCGAGACCCCAGGCTCTCTCCTTCTGCCTTTATCCTGGTGAGGCTGCTGGACACCTGGGCTGAGGGAGGGGGAGGGGCTGGGGTCCACGTTCCAGGCTCTGCCTCTCGGGCCCCAGGGGAAGAGGCCGAGGCCTTGGCCTGGCTGCAGGGCGGCCAGAACGCGCGTCTGGCAGGAAGCAGAGGTTGCACAGGCTCTTTTGCTGGAGACGCCTGACTTGGTTCTTTCCACTCTACCTGCAGCGGGCCATTCAGCAGGCTGTGGGAAGCTCCCTGCAGGCGGACCTGCCAAACGATAAAGGTACGGTGAGTTTCACGTCCTTCAGCCCCCGCTCCTTCTCTGCATTCCTCACCGTCGCCCCGTTCTTGCCCTTCGTGGGCACAGAGACCCAAAGACGGTCCAGCTCCGTGGCTGCCTTTGAGGGGCCCACAGTCCAGTGCGGGAGAGGGGTGTGCAGCTGTAGCTCCATGGCCTGAGGTGCTGTGAGAGGGCAGGAGGCTCCTCAGCGGGTCTGGAGGGAGGCAGGCTGGCTACCGGCTGCCTAGAGGGGTGAAGGACTACCTGGCTCTCCATGGACACACGAGCCCTGTCTGATGGGCGGAAGCCTGCTGGGTAAAGGAAGAGCGGGCTGTGGCACAGGACCTGGCTCGGGAATAGCCTGGGACTCATTGGGGCTGGCTTGCTGGGTGGTGAGGCACCTGGCAGAAGCAGGAGAGGTCTGTGGGGACCAGGTCTCAGCAGGCCTTGAATGCCGAGCTGAAGTGTGGAGACATCATCCTGCGGATGGACAGGAGGACAAACAGGTGAGAGTGAAGCCCGTAAGGGGGTCTCAGGAAGCCCACAGGGCCTGAGTCAGGAGGTGGTGTGTGGTTCCAGCGTCACGAAGGGGACCGGGCCCCTCTTTCTGTCCACCACGAGGTCTCTGCATCTAGTCCTCTGTCTTCAATTCCCCCATGCAAATCTCTCTTTCCAGATGGCTCTCGGTGTCATGGCCTTCGATGGAGGCGCTGCCGGAGCCCACGGTCAGAGCCCCGTCCCCAGGAATCAGGGGGTGCTGACACAGCTACTGTGAGTAAGAGGGGCTGGGTGACTACACCCCTGGGTCTGGAGAAGAAGGGACTTGGGGAACCCAAGTAGGCCGCATAAGGGACTGTGTTGGTCTGGGCCAAGCTGTGAATCCTAAAGGGAAGAGCGTGGATCCCTGAGTTTTCTTTGGGGCTCAATGTATGGCTTCCTCAGCATCAGGACAGGGTAATTTTTTTTTTTTTAGACAGGTTCTGACTGTAGTTTAGGCTGGCCTTGAACTTATTATGTAACCCAGGGTGGCCTCGAACTCATGGCAATCCTCCTGCCTCAGCCTCCCTGAGTGCCGGGATTACAGGCGTCAGCTACCACACCCAGCCCAGGCCTGGGGAAGTATCACTCCTGAGTCCTCACAGCATTGTGCCGCGCCCTCGCTGTCTGTTGCAGGTGTTGGACCTGGCTGCCGACAGCTTCCTTGCAGGACTGATGAGTATCCTGGACCCCCCAGATACCTGGGTTCCCAGCCCACTGGACCTGCGGCCCGGCGAGTGAGGAGCTGGGGGGTTAGAGTGGGGGCTTCCCCAACCTGAAAAGCTGCCACCCCCATCCCTGCCCCCCAGGCTCACCCATCTCCCTTTACCTTTCAGAAGCGAGGACATGCTAGAGCTGGTGGCCGAGGTCCGAATTGGGGACAGGGATCCCATCCCTCTCCCTGTGCCCAGCCTGCTGCCTCGTCTCAGGGCCTGGAGAACGGGCAAAACGGGTATGTGGCTGGTGGCGCTGGGCAGGCGGCCCTGGAGTGGTGTGCGAGGCGGCCGGTTTCAGTAATGATAGTGATTGTGAGCGCATCATTTAGGCAAATATCTTTTTTTTGTGTGTGTGTAACTAGGCTTCTGTAAAGCCTTGTGTGTGCAGATACATACAAAAACTGACGTGATAGGGCCATGTAGGGTTAGTGAGCACATGGTAGCCATTCTCTGTGTTACTGCAAGGAGAATTCATGGCCCCGGGAGGGACCTCGTGTCTCCATGTTCCAGAGGAGTGTGCAGTCTGGAATTGAGAGGTCATTTGCTTGAGGTGCAGCCAGGTGCTAGTGGTTTCCCTGGGCTTTGATCTGCAGTGTGTTGTGTGTGAAGCCCACGCGTTGGATTGCTCTGATGTGCATTGTGCCAGTAGGAATCTGCTCCATACCCTAGGTGTTCAGTCGTGCCTGCAGTACTGTGGTTTTCAAGTCTGCGCTCGGGTCTGAATCCCCTGCTAATGTGTGGATCTCTGGCCCCACTCCCAAGAGTTCTCCTTCAGCAGGGTGTGTGGGGTGGAGTGGGAGGAATTTGCTTTCTGTTTGTGTGGCCTTGGGAATTGAACCCAGGGTCTTTGCACTGAGCTACATTTTATTATTTTGAGACAGGGTTTTGGTAAGGCTGGGCTTGAACTTGCAGTCTTCCTGCCTCAGCCTCCCAAAAGGCTGGCAATTTGCATTTTAGTGAGACGTATACTGATCCTCAGGACTCATGAGTGTAGATACCTTCTTTGTGTACGTACAGATTGGGAAGGGGAGTGGAAAGGAAAGTTTGTTTGGCTTGGGTGTGGCTGCAACGGCCTGGACTGCCAGTTCTCTTGAAGAACATGGCTTGTACACCTCCATGTATCAGGTCAGGCTCACTTTGTGCCATTTTATTTTATTTTATTTTATTTTATTTTATTTTATTTTATTTTTTGAGAGCGTCTCACTATGTAGTGCAGGCTAGCCTTGAATGCATTTTGTAGCCTAGGCTGGCCTCAAACTCATAGCAATCCTCCTGCCTCAGCCTCCCAAGTGCTGGGGCTATAGATGTGGGTCATCAAGGCTGATTATGCCTTTTTATTTTTAACAGCTGTGAGTCAACATATCCATTAGTTACAGGAGGCGTGGTGCTTAGGACCCACAAAATTGTTTTGAAATTTCTCTTAAACTTAGAGGCCATAAGTAAATAAATGGGCAGGCAGTATTCCAGTAAAACTTCCTTTACAAAATAGGATGAATACCAGCTTTGGCCCCAGACTTTAGAGTAATATAGAGGTATCTGGAACCTCTAAGAGTTGTATTTGGGTGACTCTGGGCTTACGTTCTGGTTTTTATTATGTGTTTATTTTTTGTAGTGCTGGGGACCAGGCCCAAGGCCTGGGCGTATGAGGGAAGAGCTCTACCACTGTGCAACGCCCTCAGCCCATTTTTTTTCTTTTTTTTCTTTGCAGTGAGGTCTCATTATGTTGCCCAGACTGTCCTGTAATGCCGGGGCTCAAAATACCCTCCTGCCTCAGCATCCCATGTAGCAGGCACTATAGGTGTGTGCCACCATGCTGAGCCCTAGCCATGCTTTTCTCATCCCAGGTAGTTGTCTTTTTCCTCTGGAAAATACTAAGACCTAAGGAAAAAGAAAAGGCACCCATAATCCTATCTATAGAGACATGATTTGGGAAAGGGCCGGCCTACCATCTGTAGACCGCGGGTGGTGGTAATGACAGCAAGGGCAGTGGGGCACACTTGCCAGGTGCTCACGGGGTGCCATGCGCCGGCACTGCTCACCAAAGCTCCCTGAGACCTTGTGTCACCCATGTGCAGTGACACTGTCGTTGTCATGGTCACTGTTCCCCGCTTCCCTTTCCAGGGCTCTCAGCAGCTCCCAGCCCGTGCGCTTGACTCTTGGCAGCCATCCCTGCGCTCCCCTCTGTTTGGGCTCCCTGGGGGCAGGGCCCATGTCCTTTGCTCACCACTTTGCTGTGTCCAGAACGGAGCCTGGTGTAAAACAGGCGGCTGGTAAAAATGTGTTGAATGAATGCGTGAACTCTCATTTCATAGGCGAGGAAACTGAGGCAGATAGGTGGAGCCACTTGCCTGTGGGCACATTACTGGTGAGGGCTGGAGGCTGGGACCTGATCAGGCTGTGGCTCTGGGAGCTGCCCTTGGGAGCCTCCCTGCCTCCTGCCACCATGCTCGCCCGGCTATGCTGGTGCCCTCGTCCAGGGGCGCCTGGCCCATGTGCTCGGGTGCATGGCCGGGTCCGGCCCAGCTCCTTATCCGTGGTGAGGCCTCAGTCATCTGCTTCCACTTGTGCAACTGGCACCCAGAACATAGTGCTCCAGGCAGTGGGGTCTGACCTAGGAGCAGCTAAGGCGATGACTGCAAAGTCAGGCCCTGTCCCTCCTTTCCCTGCGTAGGCGCGGCCCTTTGGGAGTGGGCGCTCATGAGCGTGGCCGGCTGGGAGGGGTCAGGGTACCGCCTTCTGCCCCCAGTCTCACATCCTTCCTGCGCAGAGCGGGAGGAACTGCTGTGAGAGGTGGGCTTGGGTCGGACCGGGCCCTGTTCCCAGCCTCTGTGCGGTGGTGAGCTCGCTGCCCCTGGTTAGGGAAGTTCCTGGGCTCCAGGGTGGGTTCGTAGGGCCCAGGGTCTGGACGTGGGGTGCAAGCTATGGTCACATTGGCCTCGCCCCTGACTGCTGCCTGCCTCCTCTGCCGGCTGTGTGGAGAGGTCACAGGTCCTCCCAGTGGCACGCACAGCACATGGCCTGTGCTGGTCACGGGAGGCCCCTGCCCCGGGGGACGGCCAGGCTGAGCAAGCCCTGAGCGCTTCTCTGTCTGCCCTGTTCCTTTGCAGTTTCTCCGCAGTCTCACTCTTCTCCACCCACCTGTGCCCGCCACCTCCTCACCTTGGGCACAGGAGATGGGGGCCCCGCCCCGCCCCC